TGCCCTGGCAGCTTGGCTCCTTCCTGTATTATGTGTGCCAGAGGAACAAAGGGGAGCCTGGGGACCCCAGCTGTCATCACAGCAGGAACAATGAGGAGGGTTGTGGCCTGGCAGGAGCTCCCAGGGCTACTGGTGAGCTGCCAGTTTCACTGGCCTGCTCTGTCACGTCCCTACAAATGACAGACTACCAAGGTGTCTAGGTAGATAAGCTGTGTCTGCTTGATAAATTGACCAGGCACTGATACCCTCAAGGATGTTGCACTGCTCTACATGGGCTACCTCCTGACTGGAAGAAGGATAGCCATATCCAGACAACACTGTGGGATGGGCTGACTAGTGTAGAGACAGGCTAGTTGGTGTTGGCATTGGATTTAGGACCCAAAACACTTAGACTGACCACAACCTTTCCATTTGATAATAGGCAAATTTATTGATACACAGTGATAGCAGAAAAGAATAATACAAGCAATTCTATAGCTACCAATCATAGGGCTGTCATCAGAGTCAAGTTACAACTGGCTAGGGCACGACCTTCACTCTGAGGTTCTCTCGTGAATGTCAGATGTCGAAAGCCTGGAGATCGGATGCCGAGGCCCACCCCTCCCCCAGTGGGGTGGATAAGATGGGCTGATGGTATGCCCTCTGTTCCTGTGCCTCAGGTTCCCCTCTTGGAGAGAGGGACACTTTGCTCTAAAATCTCCGCTTTTGTATTCTTTTTCTCTCCTGATGACTCTTCATCTGTGGCTATTACTGATAGGTCTTTCTGTGGTTGTCATATTGTCCACGTTCTGTTCCATTAGCATATTCCTTTGTTACACAAGCCCATCAAATGCATACATCTTAATTTGGTCTTTCCTGGCCTTTTCCTAATTTGGTCTGTTCCCCCAAAACTGGAACTCTCAGGCCTCCCGCTGTGGGGCTTTGTGAGCTGGCTGGAGCTACCTTATCTCATGTTATGGAACAGCGTGGTACATGCCCACAGTTTCCCAGGCTATGTGTCTATTGTTGGCCTTGTGCTTGCCTGAGTTAGACACCTTGTCTGCCTCAAAGGCTGTGAGAATTGTGCACGAGACAACCCAGCCTTTAGAAACCGATTAACCCTTGCTGAAGTCCTGAAATATTGTTCTAATGCATATACATTTACCTGCAATCCAGTTCCCAAAAACAAAACTCTACATACCATTTTCTAGCCATCAATTAGCACTCAGCAGGACTGATTAGCCCGCTTGAAGCAGTTACTCTACATCCAGTTTTGAGGAAGCCCTCCCCGGAGCAGTGTTGTGTGCTATATTGCCCCGCTACCTTGAACAGTAAGCTTACTGTGTAGATATGCTCGTAGCTGATTGTAGCTCAGTGGCAGTTCTTCAGGAAAATGAATACTGGAAGAAATCAACCTAGTCCCCTGCTTGACCCATCCTGACTTCCTTATCAGAAGTATACTTGCCTTAATGTTATCCTGATTCATCTGGTCTGATGTCAAGTTGGGCTAAACAGAATAACAAGGATCAGCACTGCTTACAGCATAACAGGATTTTCAACAACACCTTCCTATTACTCTCTCTTTCCAGGGTTCCTCTGAAAATGCCAACAGTACGCAGTCTTTGGTTGGGTTGTTAAATAAGTGCAGAACCCCTCAAGGACAACGACTGGTCAGTCAGTGGATCAAGCAGCCACTTCTGGACAAGAACAGAATAGAAGAAAGGTAAGCACTTGTTGGTATCCCTGTCACGCTTTACTGCAAGTCTCTCTGTTCTTGCTAGAAATCTGCTCTGTTTTAGCAAAACAAGGCTTGTGTGAAACAAACAGCTTTGTGATGTGTTTGTGCTTTGTTAGAAGTAGTTAAAGAATCGGTTGCAGTTTTCTCTAGATGGCAGCATAACTTTTTTTTTAAACACTGTCTAACTCATCCTATATTGTATTTTCAGTTAGGAGCTTTTATCTCCTGCATTCATTTACTAGTTGTAAATAGACTAATGTACTTGGGTAGGCTGCTGTTGTTTTAAACCTTAGCAATTCTAATCCTTTGTAAGGGGGTGGGGGACACAAAAGTAGGCTTAGTATTTTAAGCCTTCTAGGTAACAGCCACTTTTTTATTCATATCTAAGATTAAAATGTGCAAGATGAGGTACTTTTAGGATCCTGGTCTGTCCTGACAGTACTTCCAGTGCCAAATACAGAAATTCGGGCCGCCCTCTTTTCTGCCCCATTCCCTCCAAGATTACTTTGTTCATCTAGACCAGGGGTTGCCAGCCAATGGCCTGGAATACCATTTGGCATGCAAACAAGGGAGAGTGGCAGCCAGGTCTAGAGTGCAGTGCTGGTGAAGGGAGTGGCAGCCTGCCTTCAGAGCGAGCTGTCTTATTTTAGCTCGCGGCTCCAAAAGGTTTCCGATGACCCCTGTTCTGGACTACACCCCAGAAATGCATTCTGTTTTAAAATTCATTTTGGAGGGATTTGTGCAACTGGGACTCAGCATCACCTTAGTTACAGGCTCATTATGCAGCTCAAATGCAATCCTTTGTATTTATCTATTACAGTAGTAGCTGAATGCTTTGAATACATGAAAGTTGTTATTGGAGCTTGTTGATACATCCTCAGTTTAAATTTTTTAAATTTACCTACGTGCTCTTACTGGTAAATATAGACCCTTCAGATGTGGTGAATATTCCAATTCATTTGAAGGAAGTAGGTAGAAATTAAGTTGTAAATGATGGGTATATCCAGTTACTGCGATTTACATAGTCTACAGATGGTGGCAAATCTCCAGTTCATTTTTGTGGCTTCATTGTAAGATAGGTAGCATTTGCTTGACCTACCTCTTATCTTACTTGAATGAACAACTGTCACTGTGGTCCATGGCAAAGGGAGACAACATTACTGGTAGAATGAGTCAAAGCATAGTAGAACCTTCAAAGCTCAGACAATTTGGGACTCTAGGATTAGGCTTCTCTGTCCTGTCCTTATAGCTCAGCCTCCGAACCCTGCTTTGCTGAATTTCTGGGTAGCATTCTTCATGCATTTCTGGTAGTACTCATATTTGAAAATTATTATAACTTAAAAAAAAATCAGGAAAGTCTTAGATAAAAACTACATTAAGTTGGAGTGTGACAGAAGGTATTGGTGTTGACCTCCATTCTGTAATGACATTTTTGAATGGGAGAACATTAAAATTAAATTAAATTACATTTGGGACCAGTAACAGAAAATTGCCGTTAACATAAACTTTGCATGATCGTATGGCATTGCTACAGAGTAGTTGAGGTTGTCAGGATATCTTAACTAGGTATTTCAATACCTTCACTTTTTTGAATTTCTCAAACATTTACCTTATCTCTGATGGTTTTGCTCATATTTTAATGTCATGTTTTGAGGTAAAATTTATTCAGAATCCTCCTTGCAATGTGTGTAATTATATGCTCTTTCAGTGTTTAATATCATTTTAACTTGGCTTGTCTTGGGGCTGTTTTTATATTTGACTGCTTTTTAAAATGCAAAGAATAATGTCAAGACACAAGACTCTTGAAGGATGTGAGATGCGTTGGTAAACTACCAAAGATGTGCGTGACTGCTTTTTGGTTTAAATGGGGGATGTTGAACGTAGGGCTCACAATGCTGTTCTACCCAGCTTGTTGGGCTACAGATGAGCCAGGGAATTTGGGTATGTGGCTAGTGGGGAGGCAGGGCCTTCTACAGAAGGGGTCCTTTAACTTCATTGAACCCTTAGTAGCAGGGGGCATGGAAGGACTGTGGCCCCTGACTGCTCCTACCAATGCTGGCCCTGTTGCTTGCTTCATGGATCTGGGCGTTCTTGTGACCTGAATCCAGCCTGATACACAGGGTGAATTTGATACCCGTGGTATTATTTAACAGAGTTGATTGAATTTTATTAGTAGATGTTAATCTACTAATAAAATACTGAGTAGAATTTATTTGTAGATAACTTTGCACACACAAGTTATCCAGGAATCCCAAGAATTGAATTCAAATGCTTGGAATTTCTTCGCTGACAGTTAAGTCAGCAGTGTACTCTCTGGGATAACACCTTGTTGCATTCAGTTGAGACTACAAGTAGAATTGAGGAGGGGTGGGTTGAATTTTAATGCAGTGGACTTTGGATAGATCACTAGTGGAGAGAATGTTTTGATTTTTTTGTTGAGGTTCTGTGGAACCACGGCCCTTTTTACTTCTTCCAAATGATATGTTAAAAAAGACAGTGTCTTCCTCATCACCTTGATGAGACACTAGCTCATTATTAACTTGAAGAATGCCATATGCAAAATTACTGTTGTCATTTCAAAGCACTGCCAAGTTCTGCGTTACCAAAGATCTGGGACCATTTAGTCTTTAGAAACACAAGACTACAGCCTGTCTATGATCAGGACCTCTTTTGTGAGCTTAGACCCAGAATTAAGGGACAATTAGAATTCCCTTAAGGATTACCATTTCTGTGCACCAAATCAAGATGCAATTGCACTTCCCAATGATCCTCCATTCCCTCTTAGCCAGTAAGGTATTACTATTACCTAAGTCAGATAAACAATCCTTTTATTGATTATACCCCAAAGCACAAGAATGAGCACTTCAATGTCTATCTAGCTATCTGAAAAGCAGAATATAGATTCTCACCTACCCTGGCTGGGGAGATACAAGAGGGATACAGGGGGGAAGAGACATGCAGACTGGCATCAGGTTGTTTTGAATTTGCAGTGGTCTCCCCCGAATCCTGCCTGTTTACATCCAGTATTTATATCTGGCTTATTTTAACAAATACTCTCTACTTGCTATGTCTTGTTTCTTTTTTACTGTGCTGGCTGAGGTAGTTGTGACATCTGCAATGGTATACAGTGCAACAAGGTTTGGGGCCTTCAGTTTTAGCCACACTGCTGCAGCTTAGCATAATTATCTTGAAATGGCCAAGGCTGACACCGTTTGGTTTTGGTGGCGGATTCCTTTTTCGCTTTGGTCCTGGATTCATATCTCAGAGCATCTTAACTCCCACTTTCATTTCTTTTCTGTACATTACATACATTTTGGCTTTACCATATTCAGTTAACAAAGGCACCTTTTCATTGCTGACTGCATACAATTAAATTGTTATCAACAAGCAAAGTATCAGTTATTACTTTTAGTGACTATTAAGTGCTTTTGGGGGAGGGGAGGGGAGAAAAAAAGGCAATTATTTGTGTTTGGCCTACCCTAATATTAGTGGCTTTGGCAAGCAGATTCTTATTCTACTTTCCTTGCCTATCCCTTATGACTTAAATGCAAGCTTATTCATTACTGACTAAGCTCAGTGGTTATTGATAACATACCAGTTTAAGCCAGGGCTGTCCAACTGGTGACCCATGGGCTGCATGTGGCCTGCAAGGGGTTAATGTGGTCCACTTGGACCTCTAGCTGCTGCCCTTTGTTCCAACTGCAGCAGCACCAACAGCCAGAGTCTTGGGACACCCCTCCCTGCACTGGTTTCTGTTGCCTGACCCACCCTCAGGGAGCTTGGCACAGTGTAGCTAGTGGTGCCAGGTAAGCCAGTAGCTTCCAGTGTTGATACAGTACAGTGCCATAGTCCAGAGGGAGCTGCAGGTGAGGCAGGGTACTACTCCTGTGTGGGGGCAGTGGTGGGGGTTTCCGCTCATGTGTGCAATGCCACTCGTCCACTCGTTCATGTGCGTGGTGCAGCCAGGTGCATAGTGTATAGCTTGGAGGGCTTGTGGGTATAGCCTGGAGGGCTTGTGGTCTCTGAGATGTGCAGTCTGTGGGGTGTGCAGCCCCTGACCGTTTAGAAGTTGAGCCACCCTGAGTTTTGGTAGGTTCATAACCTGCACCAGTCAGTGTCATCTGTCAATCATTGACAATGTCTGCAGCATATAGATGATGTCTGTGTAGTGCTTGTTTGGTGTGAGTGCAGTTATATAATACACAATAGCTTTCATATCAGTTTTGCATTTTGGGAGTGGTTCAAGTATTTTTATAGCACTGCCAGCTGGAAGAATGCATGACCTTTTCTTAATGTTTATTCCCGCAGTGCAGTGTATTCAGAATTGGATGTCTGGTCATATTGCACAAATGGAGCTTCAAAATCTTGTTCCACTATTGTAAGACCTGCAGGTGGTGCAAGTCATCCTTCAGAACAAAATGGATGGAGATGCTCTGTTGGTTCGGAGTTCTTAAGGAAACAAATTATTTTACCAATACAGAGTATTGTTCAGTTATACTTGCGTGCCCATGTGTGTATCGAGCCCTTAAAGCTAAATACTGAAATAGTAGGAACAGTGCAAATTAATGCATATGTTAATTTGTAATTTCTCTGGAATATAAATTACCTGGTCACTTGCTACAACAGCATTGACTGAATTTGAGGAAGTCCAGGTTCTTTTTAACAACTGGGCTCTGACTACTATTTTCTATTTTCCTTTTATATATAAGGAAACCAGCTATAGCTGTGCAAAAAACGCTTGCGGCATGGAGTTGGAAGCCCAGTGAAGGAGTTTTGTCTTTCATGTTTTATAAACAACGCCATTTTGACACTAAACTCTTCCTTTTATAGCTATTTATTTATAAAGAATAGCCAATGCACATTTTTATCAATTGGTACCAACTTTACAAACTACAGTAATATACTGTAAGAAGTGTTTGCTATTTTTACGTGACAGGTGTTTTGAAAGCCTGAGAAACTAGAAATGCTGCTGCCTGAAAAGTAGA